CGGGCGGAGCGCGGAGATCTCCGGCGTGAGCTCCGACTGTGGCCAAGGGAGGAGGGGGGGGGGAAGAAAAATAAATCAAGATCGATTTTTTTTTTTTTTTTCCTCCTTCTTCTTCCCCCTTTGCAATAAAGGGGATTTGCTCAGCAAACTTACTTGAATGCCTCGTAGGCAGTTTAGCCCGGAGACCAAAGGATACCCCGCACCCGAGGAGTCCTACATGTGTGAGCACCATCATTGCACTGGCAGAGCAACCGAGAGCCGCCTCCTTCCCTTCACCAGCATCCTCCTGGGACTGATCTCTCTCCTCTGGTCCAACATCCGAGCCCAGCTCGTGTATATCTGGTTTGGGGCTTTTTCTTTCTTTCTTTTTTTTTTTTTTTTTTTTTTTTCCTTCTTCATCTGCTGGGATTGCTAAGGAAATAAATAGAGGAAAATTCTAAAAGGGCATCTGAAAATTCGTGGGACTGAATATAAGGAAGTGAAATGCTTACAGACCATTATTATTATCATTTAAATTAAAAAGGAAAAAAAAAAAGTACTTAAAACGCGGATCGGATGTATTAGGTTTAGAAAATAGCAGGTAAGAACTTTCTTTCCAGTATCTTCATGCCCGGAGCGGGGATATCTAAAGCAAAGCTGCCCAGCCCTAGAATAAAGGGGGAGCAAAGAGACCAGTTTGCCCTTCAGCGCTTCCTCCATCCTGCGCGGCGAGGCTGCTCCAGGGAGAGGCACAGTCCGCCCGGACAGAGACAGTCTTTCCAGAAGGCAGCCGAGGGTTACCGGGGCGGAGAGGGGGGGGAGGCTTTTTTTTCCTTCTTTCCTTTTTTATTTTTCTTATTTTTTTTTCCCCCCTTCACCTGCACCATCCAGCGTGAATCCGAGTGCAGCTGATGTATGGAAAAGAAGAAGGATCCGAGTCAATATTTTCTTTTCTCTTCGCTAAGCCGAGGGATAGGATTTTAATTATTTATCCACCCGAACCCTCTCCGGGTACGACGCTGCTGGAGCCACTGGGATAGTCCTGCCTTGCACAATTATTAAAGAGACTGATCACGTACAGTGGAAGGATAAGAGGAGCCTCCACCAGACCCGTTTTGCCTCCTGTGGAAAAATAATAATAATAATGATAATAATAATGAAGGAAAGCAC